TTTGTACCATTTTTAATTTTCCCTAAGCCTAAGGAAGGGCGTGTGAGCCCGAAAGCATGCAAAGAAAGATTTTTTTTGGTGTGATTTCTTAGTTGGTCTAATAAAAGGTATCATCTCTGAACCAAGAGTTTTGCACATCCATTAAGGCTCCACACTTGAGCAGTGTGAGCTGGCACAGACACACTGGTGGTGAAACCCACCACGGCTGATGCGTTCCTTTTTTTATGGCACTGATACACTTGTAGAGGCCTCACTCTTCCAAAGATGCCTTGATTTCCTGGAGACTCTTGCTGGTGTCTATATGTACAGACACACTGACATAAAGGTGGCAGGGAACTTGGCTGGGCTGATTGTGCTCAGACAACAAAAAGGGTTAGGGTTCATTTCTATGTTATGCCTACCCAGATGTCCAGAAGCATGGAGAACCAGCCACAGTCAAGACCCACAAGGAGGAGTGCATGAGCCTCAGCGTGGCTATCAGTTTAGCTGTTGTACAGTCACCCTACAATGACAGAGATGCTGCACACAGATACAGACACAGACACAGTGGGCACGCCTACACGAGACACTTTACTACACAGTAGAGCAGATTACTGTATAGTAAGCATCACTGTCTACATGTGCAGACCCTCACTGAGCAGTAATTTGCTCTACTCAGCAGTTAATTTGCTACCTGCAGATGCAAGTAGCAACTTAACGGCTGAGTAATTATTGTGCAGTAAGGCACGTGTAGATGGCCCACCAGGAGCAAATTTGCTTCTGGGCAGCAGGGGGTGGGAGATTGCTCCTGGCCCCTGGGGAGCTGCCTGTGGCAGGTCCCAGCCCCGCAGCTTTCTCCCAGTCCCATGCCCAATGGGTCGATCAAGGTACAGAGCTTGGAAAGAGCTGTGGGGGAGGGGGAGGTCCCAGAGGGAGCAAATCTGCTCCCAAATGCATATATGTTGTACACACCTGCCCAGGGTAGTAAATTACTCTGGAGTACACCCATCCTGCAGCATATGCACATGTAGACGCACCCAGTGTCTTCTAGGTATCTCAGGGTGCATTTACACATTGCCCTATGGCAACATAGTGGCGCACTACAGTGACGTAGTGATCATGTGGGTCTACACGTGACCGCCAGCTATGCTGCCATAGCGGTGCTCTCCCCAGTTACAGTGTGCCACTATGGCGACATAGCTGGGAAACGTAAGCATGCACCGCCGCATGGTGCAGCGATAGCCCATAGTGTGCCGTGCTTCCAAAAGGACTACAGCATGGCGCCGTAGCAACGTCACATGTAGGGGCACACTCGGGGTACTACACTTGACTCTGAGACCCCCCGTGCTATTATGCTCATATTCTAAATCTCTTCTCCTGGTTACTTATAACAAAGGCGTGTACAAATAAAAAAAGACTACATGACTAACTGAATATATACCAAAAAATGGTGAGATTACCTCTATACCTACTCCTACTAAATGCACCAAGTAAACAAACTGAACCCTAGTTATTATTTGTATAATAACTGCATTATACACATATTCTCTCGCATGCTTAGATCAATATGAAATAAAAGGAACAGCCACTTACCAAGTTCTTTCTTTTAGGTTGGGAGACATTGTTTAAAAAAGTAAACACCTCTTGAAGCACTTGAACATCTCTGCTAGGGGCCTTGTGAATAGATTTTAACAACAGTGGGTGGAAAACTTTCGAAGTCCCCTATGCCAAATTCCAGGCCCACTTCTGAACTGTTTCAGACAGCTTCAAATTGGTTTAACAGGCTTGTCTGTCTGCCCACTCAGGTTTAAACTACATTTAAACCAGTCTAATAACATATGAGAGTATTGTCACAACTACAGTTGTGAGACAGGCACCAGTTACCATCTCCTTTTTAATGGGTTGGGGGACGCACTTAGCAAGCACTTATTTGGGATCATCTCAGTCTGTGGCAGCCCTGCATACAGACCCCAACTCCTAGAGCTGCACTCTATAACCACAAGATTATTGTTCCTCCTTGCATGCCAGGCACTGCATTAGACCAAACTGTAAAGCCCAAGGGCATATCTGGATTTTAAAATCCCGAGTCCATGCATTGACAGTGATATATAATTACACATACTGGTGAAATCTCTAAATTCTCTCTCATTGGCAAAACCTTCAGGGGACGTGGTTTCACGACAGTTCATTGCAAAATCCCATTTAGATACTCAAGCAGATGGAGTATTAATAAAAAAAGATCTCTGTTGCCCTTTTAGACACTTAAACGGACTGGCTCGATTCCCACAAACAGTTGGGGAAGTCTGAAAGCAATGGGAACTATCGCTTCGACCGTGCTATGCAGAAATCACCCCTTGCACTGAGACAAACCCTGTCCTCAGTTGTACCCAGGCCACCCAAGGAGGACACCGAGGTCTTGCTCAGTGCAGATTCCCTCCCTGCTCATATTGTGCTGGGGTGCAAGGTGACTGCTGTGACTGTCACACCACTATCAGCAAAAAGCCAATGCTGACAAAGCTGGGAGAGCCATTCACAGCAGCCCCTCTGCCCGTACCTGTGTGTGGATGTGTCAGGTCGGGGTCATAACATGAAGCTAGCAGGTAGCAAGTTTAAAACTAACAAAAAGCAGTTCTTTTCCCCCAGCCTGTGGCTGAAGTGTGGGACTCGCTGCCCCCAGATGCAGCTTAGCCAGGATCCAAAAGGGTTTGGACATATTTTTGGAGAAAAAGAGCATCCAGTTGCTACTGAGCAAAGGAACAAGGGCACAGCCTCCGCATCAGACCCAGCAAACCCGCTGGTGGTCTGGAGAGGACGCCGCATGCATGATAACCATGGCTTTAAAAGACACGGTGAAGAATAAACGACAGGACCCCTCAGCAGCCACCCCCCCCGCCCCTCATGCTGCCCTGCTTTACCTGGGTCTCGGCAGCGGTCTCTACCCCGCTCCCGGGTCTCGGCATGGGGAGAAGGGGATGCCCTGGGCCTATGCCCGGCTTTCCTCTGCTCCCTCTCCTCACCCCTCCTGCGATCGTGCTGCTGAGACTCCTCAGAGTTGCCGAGCCTTGTGTCACGAGGAGCCGCGGGCACCAGGATCCCCTGGCGCTGGGCCCGGCGGCTTTCCGGGCGTGGGGAATGCTTTCTCCCGTGTTTCCATGCTCCCTGCTCCACTTCCAAGTCCACGTTGAAGCTGGGAAGCCTCGTCTCTCTGTCTGGCTGCGACGGCTTCTTTTCTCGTGGCTCAGCCTCTGCGCCCAGGTTCAGGCTATGTGGCCTGGAGGTCTTCTCCTCCCTGCATCCCTTCCTGTCTGGGGGCTCCCAGCTCCTGCTGTGCCCCAGGGCTATGTATTCAGCCTCTCTGTCCTGACCAGGGCTGTGAGGTCGTCTGGACCTCTCCTGGCTCCCTGGTTTCCTTTCCCGCATCTCTCTGCTGCACGGCAGGCTGTCCCATACCCTTCCTGGGTGAGAGTCCTCCAAGGACAGATGCCTGAGCTTGGCACCGTCGCCCGGCACAGCCTGAGTTTCCCTGGGATGCTCTCTGTGCTGGTGCCTATTGCCACTGTGGGGTCTGCGGGGCCTCGCGGGCTCGGAGGCTGGCCCTCGGGGGGTGTCCCGCGTGCAATCTGGGTGGCAAGCGAGGGGACAAAGAAGGAAGCAGGTTAGTGACACGAAGGTCAATTTTAACAGACAGGGGCCAGCTCATGCAGCAAAGGCAATGGGTAAGACGGGCAGGGTCAGTACGGGAATGGTGGGGTGCAGGATGGGGCTCAGAGCTAATGCCGTGCAGCGGTGACCCAAGGAGCAGCACCCTTGGGGGCAAGGAGGGGTAAGACTAAGTGATGGGCCAGCAGCTAATGCATGGCAGGTTTTTTATGAAGTGCCCAGGAATCTGGACTCCATGCGCCTGCAAAGGGAGGCCGGGAAGCTGCGGAGATTTGCTGCTTGGAAAAAAAAATAGCATGGGAACAGCTCGCTCTGTGGCGTGCCCTTGCTTTTGCCTGCTCCTGGGAGCTGGCTGGAAGCAATGAGAAGCCAGAAAGTATCAGGGAGAGGTTTGGTTTTACTCTCTGCTCTGAACAGAGGCTCAAAATGAGTCCTGATCTCATTGGAAACTGGTTTCCCAAGCCCTAGATTTAGGTTTCAGTCCATGGGGGAAAATATCAGCACTACCAAAGCATGCCTGCACAGGGAGATACAGCGCTCCACAAGGCAGCTGGGAGAGGAGTCAGATCTCTTTGTAAGGTCACTGAGGACTTCCTCTAATATGGGCAGAGGTTAAGAAATATCCCTCCTAGGGATCAAGCCTTGGGGCTCTTGAGGGCTCAAAACTAGACTTTGTCTAAATTTGCTGCTGAGGAAACATCAGGGCAGAAAACAACACACCCCAACGGAGCGCAGAGAACAGGCCCTGACCTCAGCCACGTGCTCCCTGCACACAGAGGATGCTTCATTTCTGCTTTCTGGGAAGCAGGAGGAAATCCCCTTTGGTTTCCATTGCACAGCGGTACAGAGCTGCGACTGGGGCAGGGGGGATCCAGTCTGCCAGCTCACGGGTGTCTGATCAGTTTACTTTCTCAAAGCAATTTCAGGGCCTGGGGAAGTGCTTGCACTCAAGCATAGGGGGCTTTTGCAAGTGAAGACATGTATTTAGGTTAAGGAAATACTTGTCTGGGAGGGAGATGAGCAGAGGGCTGGACTAAACGTGACCTCCAGAGGGCCCCCGACAGCCTGTTTTTTCCATGATTTCAGAGAAAACCAGTTCACACTAAGCAACGGATGGGCTGCATGCAGAACTGCAATAAAAGGAAGCAGCGCAGGATTTCTCTGCGGCTCCATGATCTCTAAGGTGATTTCACTTCCCCTTTGTTGTCTTCTGCCCCATCCAAACTGCTATCCAAGTTTGGTGATAAAAACAAAACAAAGATTTATGAGACACTCTCATAAGCCAGCAAAAAACCCAACAGGGTGTCCTAAAAAACACTCCAAGAAACATATATGCAGTCGATATACATTGAACCCCCCTCCCCGTGAAAGGAGGGCCAGTTTGAACTTGTGAGGAACAGCTGTTTCAAAGCATCTGGATGACTTACTGAGCAATAATTAGCAATGGAAAAACAAAGCCCAAGTGAAAGACGGGTTTTGGCATGACAGGAACAGGCACCTCCGACCCAGCTTCCCCTGTAATTAGTTTTAATTTGGTCTGCAAAACTTTGCAAGGAAAAGCAAAACAGGCCAGCCAAGACTGACGGGGAGAAGCGTAATGAGAAGGCAAAGCGCAGCGAGAAATGCTGAAGCAGCGCTGGGAAAGGTTGCGTCGGTGCTGAGGTAGGCAACACGGTTGTGCCAGACAACCTGAGCAGGAAATCGGGCTTCACGGAAGTTCAGGGCAGCTTGTTTCCAAGCATGGGGCCCGAAAGGGTGTTTTTCTTCCTCTGTCTTTATTTTTCCCTTTAAAAAGAGAGACGGGTCTTTCCCTGGATCCACATGCACTCTGAGCACAGATCCCAGAGCTTTCTGGCGTGGGCCCACAGGCATGATGCAAACAGAAATGCTGGAGCCCTCTCAGGTCATGCTCAAGCCCCGAGCAGATCCTCATTCAACATCCCGGGTGCTCTACATGCTTCAAACTGCAGTGCTAGCTGGTCGCTAAAACCAGGGACCAAAAGCAACACTGCAGCTGCAGGCTCATTAAGGACTTCTACCCTAGCTGCAGTGTTTCCAGACTATAGGAGACACCAAATATCACTCTGCTTTTCAAAACTCTGTAAGACTCCCAAATGCATGCCAGAATCTGCTGCATTCAGGTTCAATGTTCATTCTTCTTCATCCTCCCTGCTTCAGCTCCTGCAAGACCTTTCCCTACCATGCATTTTCCAGTGATTTGCCAAGCCTAATTCGATCAGACCGTCATTGGTTTTACTAAGAGGATCTTCCACAATACCGTGGACTTTGGCATTGTGAACCTCCCGTTCAGTTGCTGCTCTTTGTTGTTTGCAGTGAAAACTTTCTGGTTGCCCTAGACCGGATTCCCAACTGGACTTCAAATATCTGACTTGGGAATGCAGAAGAAAATGCCTAATGAACAGAAACAGGGCTGTTCAGAGCGCTGCCCTTCCTCTGTAGGGCTCCTTAACCAAAAGCAGCAAGGCCTTTCCCACCATATAGTTTCAGCAGGACTTCGGAAAGACTGGACTGGAAAGCAGGACCTCAGCAGAGCATCAGAAAGAGCCACCACCAGCACCAAAGCAAAGCGATCCTCAGACTTCAATAAACACCCCCTGATTTTCCCTTCCTGCTCTGGAAGGAGTTTGTGTGATCATACAAAGCAGGTTCCCAGGAGAAAGCAAAACCACCTGGAAGACTGTAGCCAGTCCATGATTTTCAGCACAGAGTGATCACTCTTTGAGGATGCCTCCGCTATTCAGTAAGTCATACAAATCGATGCAAGGTACATACCTCTATTGGGAAGGCCATCCCCTGGACCAGGATGTCCTGTAATTACACCACTGCCAAGATTTCAGGCACCCACATGGATTAGAAATGGAAATGCTGCCCTTAACATTTTATCCCAAATTGCCTCCTTTTTAACACGCCCATAATGTTGTGCATTAGCAAACTAAAACCATATAACACTGGCCATGTATCTTCTTGTAACCAGAAGCAGGTCTGAAATGGGCCCACCAGCCCTACACCATGGTCCTTCTCTAGGGCACTCTAATTACAAAAAAAAAAATGAGGAATGAAGTCGCCTGGTTTTTTTGGCATTGGGACTGATCCCGCTTCAATTAAAGTCAGAGGCAAAACTCAATTTACTGCTGCTGCGTGACGGCCCATGCTCTTAAGGATAACACCAGTGCAGAACTCAGGCTTTCCAACAGAAGTTTAAAATGGGCACGTCTACACGTACATTTACACCGGCTTAAATTTACTGTGCAGTAAGCTACTGTGCATTAAGCAGGAATAGGCTGGCAACTATATGTGCAGGTGTTAAAGAGCATTAACGCCGTGCGGTCTTGAGCGTAAAGTTACTCCCAAGTCAGTCCACAAACACAAGCTGCTGCACAGTAAGGCATCTACAAGTGCATTAATGTGCAGCAACTAGTTGGGTCTAAATTTGATACCTACATCATGCAGGTATCAAATTTATGCCCAAGTTGGCATAAGTCACCATAGGTACTGCGCAGTATGGGTGCGCATGTGTAGACGCGTGCCCATACTGCTAAGTAATTTTAGGTTACTGTGCAGTAAATGTGCATGTGCAGATGCTCCCACTGTCTAGCTCTGGACAATCTGTATTACAAAGCTCATCAGTCCCAGACTACAGGAAAGGTTACCTCCATTCTCTGCATAGTAGCTGTCCTCATAAGCCTTGTGTCCCTGCGGCTCTGTTTTTTTCCGCTTCTTGTCTTGCAGCAGCAACTTCTCCTGCAGGATGCGGGCCATGTCCTGGTGGAGGAGGAGACACAACAGTCACATTTCCCAAGGAAGCCCTTTTCTTATTCATGTCTTACTGCCACGTTCTCATGTCTCCGCCATGAGCCACAGATGCCACAGATGCTGTGGACAAACTCTAAAGACCTACAAATCCTGCATGTCTCTGGGAGTGCATCACCCTCAGTTTTTATGATGGAGGAGCGGGGCAGAGAAGGATCAGAGGAGAGACCCCATCCAACCTTCCCTGACCAGATCAAGAGATGCTGGGTGGATCTACAGAAATAAACAAACTAGCTCCTTCCTGGGGAGAGGAAAGGATCTGAAGTTGTGTGCAATTAATAAGGACTAAGCCTTCCCTTCCTCTGCATTGGACACCACCCTCATCCCCCTCAAATGCCCAGTGCAGAAACCAGCAACAACAAGCAGTAAATCACCATTCACTGTGCCATGCTGTTTTGCTCCTTTGATGTATTTGGAAATACCCAAATGGGAAATAACAGGTCAACTTTGACAGCTGCATGGAGCGGATGTTGGGTTCTGCTGCACGCGTGGTTTGAGCAAGGGTGGTGGGTGCAGACAGCAATCAACACTACCAGCCACCAAATTTCCAAGCCCCAAATGGCTGGATTGGTGCCACACACTGGATCTGGCCTGCCGATGATCTGGTGCCATTCATCTGTCCCGCAGGCCAAGAAGGTCAGGTGCCACTGGCATAGGCTACAGATTAAAAAGTGGGTTTTGACTGGGTAAGGCTTAGCACCTGGTGCAAAGCCCTGTGTGACTGTGTGGATCCATCCAGGCACAAAGCATCTGCAATGGGACAATGTGGGCCTCCCTATGCCTGAAGAGGGGTGATTGCACTGAAAGCTTGCAAAGAAGAATTTTTCCAACTATAGTTGGTCTAATAAAAGATAGTTTCATAGTTTCTAGGGTTGGAAGGGACCTGAGTAAATCATCTACTCCGACCCCCTGCCACAGCAGCAAAGATTACTGAGGTCAAACGACTCCAGCAAGGTGTTCATTTAACCTCCTCTTAAAGACCCCCAGGGTAGGGGCCAGCACCACTTCTCTTGGAAGTTGGTTCCAGATCCTAGCCACCCTGACTGTGAAGTCGCGCCGCCTGATATCTAGCCTAAATCTACCCTCTGCCAGCTTGTGACTGTTATTCCTGGTCACTCCTGGCAGTGCTCGGGGGAACAG